ATTATCAATACATATACCAACTTTATTATTTTTGATTTTGATCTTATGTTTGTCTTTTGAATCTCTATCGCCTAGTAAGCCCATTTTTCGGAGGACGAATATTATTATTAGTATGATGAGGAGCACACATGATCCAACCACAATTCCAGCAATGGCTCCACTAGAAATCCATGGAATTTTGAAATCTACATGACAAAAAGTAGTAATGCTTACGATTCATATCAAAGTCAAAATCGTCATCACCAAGCTTAAGCTAGAAAGAGCGTAAACCAATAAATATGAGATTTGACTTACTTGGGGTGACTGAAATAGCAGATATAAGAGGTCCATATACACCATTATCATCATTAGGAATATAAGTAGTTCCTTTTCCAGCCCAGTATAAATGAATCTCCAAGATGTTATCATTAACATCAACATTAAAGTCCTTGATAATGCCCTTACCAACGCCACCAGCTTCCCTCATAATGTTGAAATCATGCAAACATTTCCTGTCCTGTCAAGATATACATACAAAAGTTTGACTTTTCAGAGCTTTGTTAACGTACATAGCAAAAACAGTTGAAAGCATGTTAAATAATTATATATGGTAATAGTCCTTGTCCTGTAAGAGTTCATTTATTTTTATTTTTTTGGGGGGGGGACCTCACCATAGATAGGGCTGGTCTTTATTATGAGAAATTCTTACATACTGCTGGAGTGTCAAGTCATCTATGCTCTATCCGAAAAAAAATGCTCCAAGTGTCCTTTTTTATAGATCCCACAAATTTCTATCATAATGGGTCATGGAGAAAGAAAAATAATCAAGAGAAATTTGTGGGATATGAGATCCAAAAGAAAGGACACTTGGAACATTTTTATTGGAGAGGTTAGGGATGACGTGACACTTTAGGAGTATGTAAGTATTTCTCATTTATAATTAGCCATTTAGCCACCCATTAAAGAGATACATAAACATAGTGTGGTGAGCTCGCCTGCTAGTGAGACATGCTACAATATTTATTTCTCTTCAACTGTATGGCTCTATGGATGTAGAGCCTTATTTTCTCACTATTCATGAAATTCTCTAATCACTAGGAAAAAAAATTAAATTCAACATTGTGAGACTGGGACTCACTTGGATTGAAACATCAAATATGCGTCTTCCAATGTGATTGAAATCTTGGTCATGAGAATACATAATCTCAGCAAAATAGAGCTTGACATTGTAATTTCCGTTAATCATATAGAGGCCATGGTACTTGAGAGATAAAGGGGAAATACGAGCTGTTTGGTAAAAGTCAGGACCAGTAATGTTGAGGGAAAATCTATTTGTTGTTATTTTATTATAGTATTTTACTCTTGTTGTGCTGCTATAAGCCCATTTATCATCACTAGAGCAAAAGAATGAGATAGGCTCAGGCTTGATGTCGCCTTCGTATTTATTCCCCTCATATATAATTTGTGGTCCTCCACAATTTATGAACAATGAATGATCTGCATACGTAGGGACAACCTCATCAAAAAGCATGTCTAGAAGAGAATCCAAATTATCAAATATATATATATTGTTACATGACTTTGATAGCCACTTCGTTGTTATGTTGACTAAGATCTACATTATTTAGTTAAAACTCTTGAAAGGGTTCATGATGGGTTTTTTGGGTGATTTATTTGTTTTTATTGAAAATAAAATACAATTAAAAAAATAATATTGGGGGAAACTCTTAAACAAGCAAGAAAACATTGATATACAAAAGTTTAATTAAGCACTCACACTTGGATTTTCCTCCACAAGGAAGGCTCCTTTTCAGGCAAGTACATCTACAAGATATACAAAAGTTACAGAACATGAATCAAAAGCATTTAGAATAAGTGAAACATGACAGCCATGTATAAGTATAATCTTACAAGGTGTTTGCTGAAGATGACAGACTTGAAACCAAGTTTCTATATAACCAAAAAAAAAAAAAGGCGTGATGCTTTTAAGAACAAGAAAAGAGTTGTTTTAGGGTGGAGGAGAGCAACTTACAAATTTTTGTATTGACAATTAGTCGTAGAAGTCTCCAAAAAATTGTTGTAAGATAAATCACTATAATAGAAAGTAGTGTGAAATTACACATGTAAGTTTTTTTCCTGTTATATTTTTTTTATTAGATAAAGTTTAGATGAGTTGGTTGGCCAGGCTTTTCTTGTTTAAAGTTCCACTGCTTATTAATTATAAGGCATTAAAGGGGGAAGAAATTTTTGTTAGTATTTAAATTGAATTATTTCATTTTTAAAAAAATTAAAAAAATCTTATTTGAATTGGCATCTAGACATTTTTTTTATTCAAGACAAAATGATATCCGGTTAATAAAATTTTGACGAGTTACTCATAGTAAGAGCACCAACATGAAAATTAAAAAACTTAAGAAAGTAAGGTACAATAATGGCCATACAAGTTTTAGACATCTTGAATTATCAAGACAGTTTAATAAAAAATAGTGCGTGTAGAAAATTGTGCAGATTAAAATTTTAATATGGCATCTCAAGTAAAAAATTAATACAAATTCCTAATAACAAATGAATAGTTGACATTTTCTAGATTGAAACTTGTCATTACATGTTGTTGTATTATTATTAGGACTTATGTTCCTTCTTTGACACTTCATAACAATTCTCCTAAATTTTTTTATATGTCAAAGTTCAAATCAAAATGACATTATGCAAAGGGAATTAATTAAAAATGATGAGAGACTTAAAGGCTAAAGATGTTTTTGTCAATGAGATTTATGGTATTTAATTTCAAATAGTAATGGCATTAAACTATATGTAGTATAATGATAAATAAAATTAAAATAAAAATGTTTTACTAGCAGATAACCAGATTGCGGTTGCAATATCTAATCGGGAATTTTTCCAGTCAGAGAATTTTCAGTTAGCCTCGTGCATGCATAATTAATAAAGATCCATTAAAAATGAGTAATTAAGTTCCCAAAAAAAGAAAACAAGTTGTGCACGTGCGTAGAATGCTCCCTTACATGAAATTTAGCCTACTTATATTGTTTGGGATTTTACCGGTCAACTTGTTGAAGCTCAAATCTCTGTAATTAATACACAAGGCCACAAATATTGCTTCATAAAAATAACTGAAAAATAATATTGCTAGTAGTAAATAGTCCATAATAAAAGTAAGTAGCTCTAAATTAGGAATTAGGTTGTCAATTAAACTTAACTTGGGCATATTATTTGAGGATGAAGCAACTTACACACTTTGTAAGTTTTCCATTTTACCAATATAATTTGGAATGGAATCATGGATGAAGCAATTTCTCAACGTCCTGAGAGAAAAACAAAGTATGAAAACTCATTGAGAATATGTATAGCTCATTTTCAATAAACAAAATTTCACCTCATTGTTAAATTCTCAACTTACAGGTATTGCAAGGACGTCAAATTCTCCAGATTAGGAAATCTCATTATCGCTGGGCCATGCAAATCGGATATTCTCCTGAATTAAAAATTAAATACAAAACAGTATCAATAATAGGAAAATATTTTTATGTTGAAATTAAATTTCATAACTATCAAACAGTATGCGGATGAATTACAAAAGACCAAGTGCTCACAGATCAGACAAATTTGTTAAGTGAGATATGGTTGTAGGAATGGGGCCTTCCATGGATGTTCCCTCCAAATCCCTCCCAAATAAAAAAGTCATGGAAACAGTAATTTTGAAAGTAAGGGAAATACTTAATAAGCCCAGTCCCCACAGTCTTTTTATTTGTTTGGATTAATTTTAATTGCAAAATTTAAAATTATTGCATTATTTTATTTTATTTAGTTACTTACTTAGCTTGGACTAGCATACATAATTATATCTCGATTCAGTTCTGTTCCTTATTTTCACTCCCACATAGATAATTTTCCTCTCTCATCCACTGTTATTGAGAATTTAAGTAGTTATTAACAACTGATTAGATTATACATTACACAACCTCCCATCCTTTACTAATAAATCTAAATGACAAGTGATCAACATAAATCTATACTAGCAGTCATTTTCTACTAAATCTTATCACTACATCTCGCTCAATTGTTGTTGTCTGAATTTTTAGTGATTACATTCTTTTATTAGAGTCCTATAATAATTCTCCCTTCTTTCTTTGTTTTCAACAATTTCCTACAAATTAAATAGAACAATATAAATAGTGGAGTAAATGAAAATAAAGGCACTGAATTTCATTAAGTTCGATACCTTAAGTTCATAAAATAGTATCTTATTTAAAAGGAAAGCATCATGATAGAGAGTATATCAGACTCACATTTCTCGGAGTTGGGTCCAATTCCCAATAAAATTAGGTAATTTTCCTAATATATTTGTCCAAACTAAATAACTGCAAAAATGTTAGGAGAGAAATTTTAGAATTTAAAAGAAATTAACAGAACATCAAAAATAAAATATAATGAAATGATTGAATCATATTATACCACTCACGTATATTCTAGGTTTTTCAGATTACCAAAACTTTCAGGTATTGCCCCTAAGAAGTTATTTCCAGAGAGATCCCTACAAGTTCCAAATCCTTAGAAACAGATAGCACATCTAAAAGTAATATGAAAAATTATCTATAACAAGACTAATGCTGTAGTCACAATAATGCAACTAATAAGATAAAAGAAAATTATTTGCACTTGAAATAATATTCTTACAACTTGTGTAACTGCTTCAATTTTCCAAGACTAGAAGGAAGAGTCCCTTCCAATAGACCATCTCTCAAATCTATGTAGAAAGTACCAAAACCATAAAATTATTTCTAAATACAACAATAAGTTTTAAAACTCAAAGTGTAATGATTTATACTTACAAATCCTCTAAAGTTGTAATTTCACCAATTTCATTTGGAATTGGACCACTACTTGGGTTCCCATTAAGGTGTCTAAGACATGTGTTTAAGAGATGAATAATACATGTGATCAAATAATTCAAGCTTGTATATATATATTCATTCACACAACTCTATGATCACTTACAATGCAACAAGAGGGAGTCTAGCAAAGCTCCTTGGGATTGATCCATATAGATAATTGTAAGACAAATCACTGTGCCATATATAAAAGTTACATTTTAGATAAGAAATTCCCACATTTCAACTAAGCACACACACATATATTTAAACCAATAATAGAATTAAAAAAATTTCATTACTTACAATTCTTGCAGATAGGTAAGGAATCCAAATTCACTTGGTAAAAGTCCAGATAAATTGAGACTTGTGAAAACGCTATCATAAAAAGAAAACACATTACTACAACTATTTACATAGAGCAAAAATAAAATAAGTTATGTCATAACTAGCACCAATATGCATTTGAATACTAATTTTATTGTGATGCAGCCAGACCGAACTTATTCTAAATATCATATAGAAATGTGTCTCAAGATCAAATCAACTAGTTTTAAATAAAGAAAGAAACAAAAAGTAAGAAAGAAAACTTTTCAATATTATTTGGAGCTCATTAAACACAACTTAATTTAGATTGGAGCTTGATTCGTGCCCAAATTGAAAGGGTTACGTTGTAACTATATGCACAGATGCACTTACATATTTGTAACATGACAAACTTTTCCATTTGAGAAGCTGCAATCGCATGTTACATTCCTTATGATGCTATTTGCTGTACTAATGGTCTCATTTTTTAAGCCTCCATCGACACAAGAACGTGGGTGACATTCCAATTCAAGTTCCCTATCTTTGATGATATTGTTTCTAGAACTTTCATTGCAGCAAACAAAATTCAGTTTTTTTAGAAATTAAAAATTAAAAAATTAAAATCATGCACCATAAAGGAAGAACCTCAACATCTATATTTTATGTTCATAGACATCTGTCAACCTTATAGATAAAGAAATTTCAAAGTACTTGCCGTGGCCCTCTTTGTTTAATTTTGACATGCATTGATATTGATGAAGTTCTCCAACATATGGATCATGCAAAGCTGGTTCAAATTCAATTTAAAACGCTCATAAAGGCTTAGCCTATAAACCTATGTCATAGTAAATATATATCCAAATTGTTTTTTTTTATTTTTTATTTTTTGTTGTCTGGAGTATCCTCCTACCCGAACGGTAAGAGACTAATATCTCGGGGTATTGTCAAGTGCCATAGTGAGGACTCCTCCCAATAGTATTTTTTTATATACACCGTCCTAAGAATCGAACTCAGGACATAATGTTTAAGTTGCCCAAGTTCCTTCCACTTGGACCTACACTTGTTGGTTGTTTTTTTGTTTTTATATTGATTAAGAAAGGTCTTCTTATCCAGAACAGCACTAGCAATGCCCAAAAATCACGTTTTCCCTAATAAGCACACCGGAAACTAAACATAAAAATATTTTTTAATAGGTTAAAATACACAGAACTTTCTAAACTCCATATCAGTTGTACATTACCTCCCTAACCTTTAAAAAATTAAACTAATAATCTTGATATTTCGTGTTTTGACTATTAATTCCCCTACCATTAAAATTAACAGCTTTCGTCATGCCGTAATTTTTATTTTTTGATTATATGCCATTTCATTTTTAAAAAAAAAATATTTGGTATTTGACATGTAATTTTATATACTTTTTATACATAAAAATATAACATACTTAAAAAAATTACAATATTTATTTCACCATGTCTTTTTAAAATGAAAAAGATAGAAAACGCTTAAAATATTTATCTCAAAAGCCAAATATTATTTTTTAAATGAAATGTATATAATAAAACATATAAAAAATTTGTGACATGTCAAAAGTTTGAACTTTAATTTTAACAGTAGAGGAGTTGAGATTCAAAGCATAAAATATCAGGGCTCTTAAATTAAACTTTTAAAATTTAGGAGGTGATTTGCAGCTGACTCAAAGTTAAAGGGGTTATACGTATTTTAGCCTATTTAATAAATAATAATGTAATTGATTAATTTATTATTTTCATAACTGTGGTCTACAAGTTTTCAAACTAGTAATTAAAACATAGCTTTTATTTTCTCTTTATAATGATATATCTCAAAGTATAAAACTATTAAAAATAATTAATATAATTTTTCAGAACTTTTTTCGTTTATTTTTTTAAAAAAAGAAAGATTGATAAACGACTATTTAACACATTTTATAAATTATAAATACGAGAAGACTGCACCAAATACAATATATAGTAATAGCAAGAAAAATCAAAATGAATTGGGTGTTATGGAAATTAAAGTAGATGAGTTTAAATTAAAGTAGATTGTTCATATTTATTTCAGTACGTGTGTGAGGACTAAATTACTCAGAAATTATAACAATCATATAAATTAAGCTAATAGGATATTTTGTATTAATACATAAAAAGTAATTGATAAAAAATGATTTTCTATCATATTCTGTGCATGCAAAAGGTATTACTAAGCTTTATTCATCTATCCAGGTTGCTCAAAAAATTTTAGATATAATTTATATCTATGTATAATATAGAAATTTTAATAAATCGCATTCCTTATACAAAAAAAAAAATTATTGATTACTTAGTTCGTTGAATTCAATATTAGCATAAAATTAAAGCAGTGGCAAATACATGAATAAAATAAATTACTATAGTTTTCAACCATTGGAATCTTGATTGGTAAAAAGGGGAAAAAAAGAGGAAGAAAGAAAGAAAACATTTGAATTAGTTTACTTAGTTCCCTTCTTGGAGGGGGTAAAAAAGGCTCGAAAGTTACGACAGTTTTTTTATCACTACTTGCTCAAGAAGAGGAAAGGGTCAACCACCACGTTGACCCCTTTCTTTTGTGTATTTTTCTTTGAACAGTAAGAAAACATATAGAAATGGCAGAATTAATCATAACGCTAAATAGAGTAATATAGTATTTACTAAGGAGTGAGAAAAACATAAAGGGATTAATTAAGAAACATTCATCTTCTAGTATAAGTTGAGCATTGGATCCATAGTTCATGAAAGCTGTCAAAGCAAAGCATTCAAAAACATAAAGATATAAATGTTTAGAGATTGAGATCCCAAATTCCATTTTGGTTGTTGAAGTTTAAAGAAAATAACTCTGCAAGGGAGCAAAGGAAGAAACAGTTTGCAGAATCACATAATAGCAAAGTGCAAGAGACGACAGAAAAAGAAGCTAAGGATGATGCAGTAGAAATAGAGGCAAGAAGAAAAGAAAAGCAAGTGAAGATTTCTACAAGTCTTCTATTTTTTGTAAATTAATAAAAGGTGTTTTTCTTGCTGGAAGAAGAGGTAATAAAGCTGCCGATTTTTTGGTAGGATGTGCAGCAAAGAGGATGTACCAGAGGAAGGGAATTCAAGGGTAGTGCATGTGCTTCTAAGGCTCTAAGGGAAGGTATTGGCTGACAGGTCCGTGTTTCTAGTTGGATTCTAATTGTTTTTGTCTTGTTTGTATTTTTTATTTTTAGTATTTTGTGTGCTAGGTTGTATCTTAGTTTTTTTAAGAGTTTATTTTAGCTTGTTTCCACTATTTTTTTATATTAATAAAATTGATTTTTTTGGTCCAAAAAAAATAAAAATAAAAGGCTTTGAACATCTGCAAGCTGTTTCATGGGTAATGTGATTTTATTAATATACACCAAAATATCACATATATACACACACATATATTTAAAATGGTATTATTTACATGTATCTTTAAGAAGTAATTTTATTTTAACCAAGATGATATCATATTCATATAAGAAGGGATCTTTAGAAGCAGTTGCTTATGAGATGGAGTGTGATGACTTTAAGGTCTACTGCCAAGTCAAGCACGCCATTCATATGTGTCTGCAAATGGGAAATAGAAAGATATAATACATCCAATCAAATTAAGAATAGGACTTGTTGATTCCTCTCCCAAATTAGACTAAATCCATGAAAATGAAAATGTGGTCCAAGAAGAAAAATTACATTTCATAAAGTGACAAAAAATCTTTCTCATCACTAACGTATATTTTTTATTACTTTGCAAGCTATACAATATAGTGATAATGAAAATATGATCCTTGATTATAAACATAATATTTGTAGAGTCAAAATTTCTCCTCATCACTAATGTAATTTTCTTTCTCTTTTGTTGCATCAACTTCTTTTTGGGGACAACTTAGCGTTTGAAAACTCAACCATTAATATATGTATACTAGTAATATTTTTTAAACTAACATTTTAATCATTTGCTATACTCGCAAATTTTTTATCAAATGATAATTTCCTATCAAAATAAGACTAATGCAATGAAAATGAAAAGGTATGTGGTCCAATAATTGAAATTACACTTCATACAACAAAAAAGCTTGTTACCATCACTAACATATATTTTGGGATTACCTTGTGGCTTTACAATATAGTGATAATGAAAATATGGTTCTTGATATAATAATGCCCCACTTGTAGGGTCAAAAATTCTCCTTATTACTAACTTAATTTTCTTTCTCTTTCATTGCATCCACTTAATATTTGAAAAGTCTACCAGGCCATGTGCCTACTCTTTTGAGGTGGATGGGTGAATGAGTCCTTTTCATTAAAAAAAATAATTATTTAGTTATTGAGTTTGTAGAAATATTGTTCTATTCATTTTGGGATTTTTTTTTAAAATCCTTATAATCTATCTATATATCTATTTTTAACTTGCCAAACACACTACAAGACAACATGCGATTAGTAACGAAATTTAGCAACGGAATTAGTGACAGATTAGTGACAGAATCGAATTAGCAATGAAATTTGTTCCGTCACTAATTCCTCTATCACTAATTGGATTAGTGACAGAATGGAAGTTCTTGTCTTTAATTACTGAAGGAAATTTTTTGTCACTAATCCATTACTAATTACTGACAGCAATTTCTATCACAATCCGTTGCTAACTTGATTTTTGAAAAAAAAAAAAGTTTTAATGCCACGTGGCAGCCTATCAGTTGCCACATCATTGCCGACGACTATCGTCGGCCACTTCCACGTGTCGCTGCCACCTCGATGTTTACTACCACATATTGTTGCCACCTCTCACCCCTGCTTGTCACGGGTCGCTACCACCTCACATGTCACCTTGTGACGCCACGTGTCGCCACTACATTATTCCTCATCAAAGTGACGTCTCCATAGCTCTAACCCTGAACTTTGTCTATGCGTGTGTGCGGCTTTACCAGTTGAGCTGCAATGAGCTTATTGACTTATTATACAAAATTAAATATGTATATAATATTCTTTTAAATAAACAATTATATGTACATATATATTATTAAAAACTAAAAATAAATTATATGATAATTTTAATCATAACTATTTTAATGCCAAAATAATTTTTAAATATTTGTTTTACTATTTATTTTATAATGTTTTATTTCTTAAAAAAATTTTAATATAATTTTAATTTCCAATGACAGTAATTTTTAATTTTTAATAATAAATAATGTTTTCATAAATAATTTATTTTTTAAATTAACATTAATAAGATGTATAATTTAATTATATATGTATTATATTATATTATCTATTTGTGTTTTATATATTTGATGAAAACCATTTATGATTCGTAAAAAAATCTTGTTATTTAAAAAATAGTTACTATAATAAAATCAAATATATTATTCTATATAAAAAATTAAATGATTTGAATAGATTATGGTAAACAATAATCTCTTGTATATGTATCCTATATAATTTTCTTTCTTAAAATTCT